GTGCTACATACAAGAGGCCAATACAGCTTTAAGAAGCTTCGATCAAGGATCAAGGCCCCCCCCCCTCCCGCGACAGGGCGGGTAATTAACGCTGCCACAGCCGGGATTTAGCGACATAATAGCCTGTGGTGGCTGGGAAATTAACAAGACGTTTTACCAGCAAGGCCATTTATAGACGTGATTTAACAATGAACAGCTCGCACTGGAACTGCAGGACTCGGCGTTGCAAAGTCTGCAGTACTTTACCAATTGATACGTTTATTTGAAAAGGTCACAGAAATTTACATAAATAAATACTTGGGCTTTACGAACCAGAATTTAGTTTTGTTTGGAATCTGAGAAACGATCCCCGGTTATAGGGGCTTTTAACAGACTGTACCTGCCCCTTATTGTCAGGGAAATTGCTGTTTTTAACACTAAGGAAGTGTTAAATTCCCCGCCTTTTCCCAGGGGTCGGGGGGCCGGGGTTTCAATTGACTGGTGCATAAATATAAGGTTGACATGATTTTACATCAAGAATATCAACATCTATAATTAATATAAAACAAAGATAACTACGTACTTTGTAATTGCCAGTGGCATATTTTTCATTCTTTTTCGTAGGGAGGAAGTGAATCTCTGAGATCATTTACAATCGACTATGATAATGACACATTTCTCAAGGACAGGAAGCCCTTCCATTACATGGCAGGGGCATTGCATTACTACAGGGTACCACGAATATACTGGAAAGATAGGATGGAAAGGATGCAGGCTATGGGACTTAATGCATTACAGACGTTAGTATATTACAGATGTTCAGAGATGAACATTTTTGTACAAATAGATACATGTATCATATGCATGCATGCTTGTCCGAGTATAAAGCTGACTAAAGAGAATATTATGTCGTGTTTGTGTAGTAACTTAATTCTTGTTTTGTTGTAGGTACATATCTTGGAACATGCATGAACCCCAGACAGAGCAATATAGATTTGAAGGTGAAAATGACTTTGAATCTTTTCTATGGCTTGCTCATGAACACGGATTTGTTGTGATCTTGCGGCCAGGACCATACATTGACGCCGAGAGGGACATGGTAATTATTACAAATGCATTTGAGGTTTGGGAATTTTTTCATAGAAAGACAGTGTTCTCATTAGGAACTGGCCACCGGCCGAATTGACCGTCTACTCTGCTGTTTCGGCTGGTTACAATTGCAATTTACAATTTAGTTTGCTCTAATTATTCTCCAAAGTGAAAGTGTTTTATGAGCTACTACTAATAAATAAGTTGAGTATATTTGTATGCATGTTATGTGCACAAGAAGCATTGTTTTGTTTTTGAGTAATGCTATTTACGTACTTGTCTAACTTTTATAATTACTAAATCGTCATAATTTGGAAACTTTTGGTGAACTCTGAATGTACCAGGAGAAACCAAATTGGAAAAAAGGACCATACTGTAATCCAAATGTGTCTGTTTACTGCAGCTCAGAATACACCAGATTGCATCTCAGAGCATCTAGGTTTAAAAAAAAAAAATTGGGGGGGTACCCCAAACCCTGCACACCGCCACGGCCTGTTGCAAAAGCATTTCGGCCTGTTACTATAAAAGATAATGAAAACCCTGGAAAGAAACACCAACCAGTTATACTCTTGTATATCGCATCTACTCTTCTCTTATTTAGTTAAAATTTTTCTACAATGTATGAAACTACAGGTTTAATCCCAATAATCTGGTACTATTGAGACCAGGCTCTGTTGGACTACTAAATATTCCTAACCACTTTAAAGGTAAGATAATTAAATCCTAAAATAATATTTGGCACAAGCTGTTTGTACGACACCTTCAGCAATCGTCCACCCTTCACTAAAACTAGGCACAGACCACTCTGAGTGACAAACGTACGTGTAAACAATGTTTGTTTCAATCGTCGGAAACTGCTGATTGGCTGCTTCCCAAACTAAAGACTACTGGTTATAATTCTTGCGAAACAACTTTATTGGACCACCGCATAACTAGTGTTGGCAACTAGTAATGTTGGCATTTTAAATTTATGTAGAAATGTTTCAGAAGATGGCAGCACCTAACATGGTTTTCATAGTATAGTATTTAAAGTGTTTTGCAACAGTTGCAATAAGCATGAAACAAAATTTATTTAAAAAGTACTTAGAGAGTTTCTACACATATACAACATACAGTTAATTTATAATAAATGACTACAGATTCCAGAAAACCTTTCCCAGGTATTCACACACATTTCCAGCAAGTAGCGTGATCCCGTTTCAAACGACAAATCGGTCACCATGCATGGCTATGTCACTTGGCAGAATGGCACAATTTCTTGACAAGGCCAAACTTACTTTTCATGCTTTTTAGACATCTATAGGGCATCTACCTTACATGTATAAACTATAATGCAGATTAGTGCACTTTAGTGCAAAATTTTTCCTCTAACAAAAATTGAGAAAAAGTTTTTTTATGGACACGAAGTAATGGAATGGTGAACGATTAACAGAAGGCTACTGTTGTGTGCCCCCTTAAAATTCGAGCTGCGTTTCTTTTGCATAGGAAGTGTATATAGACTAATTTTAAAATGCACATCACATATAACTCAATGATTATTTATAGCCCATAGGTTTTTAAAATCAGCTCTTTTACCTCGTAAATCATCTGATGATTAATTTTATTCTGCACATATCTTGTTGACTCTAGCTTGTACTGGGATTTCTGATTCATGTTTTCCACAAGAAAGTATCACAGAAAATTATTCTACCTATGAACCTACATGTGTATTGAAATTGACCTGTGTATAAGTTCATAGTATATAGCTCATTACTATTTCTTACAACAGTTGTGCTATTTGTCCTATTATGTCTATTTATGTAATTATGTCTGCATAAAAATCAGTGCACAAAACAAGAGAATTTATTATCTTTAAACCATATCTTGTTACTTGCACATTTGCAACCAAGGACCTTCACCTTTGTGTATATTTACTTACCTCTGTGTAAGAGACTCGGGCACGACTCCAGTGTAGTTTGAGAACCCTGCCACACATTCTGAAAGACGTTATAGAGCTGCCATAGGCTTACAATCAGTAGGCAACTAATCCTCTCTGAACCCAATAGAGTGTGGTGATGTAAATATCGTTTGTGTTTGTTTTATTGACCGTGTAGGGTGGACTGCCTTACTGGCTACTGAGTGTGAATGCTTCCATGGCTCTTCGTACATCCGATCCCCAGTATCTTTACTATGTAGATAGGTGGTTTGATGTGCTGATGCCAAAAATAAAGCCCCTGCTATACAGTAATGGTGGTCCAGTTGTCATGGTGCAGGTATGTGTGGAATTTTTGTTTCTAGTAATTCTTTTATATGCAAAAGTTTTTCTTATATATTTAAATGCATAGAAAATTAATTAATAAACCAAAGCATGTGTAATGAGTAGTCAGCATGTGTAGCAACACATGATTTGTTGTTTGAGAAGGCATATGTATGTATGTAGCAATATGGGGAAATTACAATTTATATTAATGATTGGTAGTCACTTTATGCATCACGTAAATTTACTTTGATATATATTTTGTTATGCAGGTTGAGAACGAGTATGGCAGTTATTATGCCTGTGATGATTCCTACATGAATCATCTCCATGTGAAGCTGAAAACTCACCTGGGCAATGATGTTGTCTACTTCACCACAGATGGTGCATCGCCTTACTATCTGAAATGTGGAAAACAACCTGGCATCTATGCAACAGTAGATTTTGGTGCTTTGCCAAGTGGGTGTCTAACTTATCAGTTATTTTAATGATATAGCATTTGAGAACCATAAATTATTTACCTGAGTAAAAACGCACGTGCGTAAAAAAGTAAAAACTACACGTACACGTGTTGGCTGTTATGCATGCATGTAGGTAATCTGGTGAGTTAGTTATTTGATTTTAAATGTAATACTGTATGATCATTTGGCAAACAAAACAGGATTTGTAGGTGACGTCTGTACATTTCGCAGTGAATGACACTATGGAAAGATTAGAAGAGGTATTCAGTTCAAAAATCAAGTATGAACCACGAGGACCATTGGTAAACTCTGAGTTTTATCCCGGTTGGATTGACCATTGGGGAGAACCGCATGCAACAGTACCAGCACAGTTGGTGGCTAGAACGATGTATGAAATGCTTGCTATCAGAGCATGTTTTACTGTGTAAGTGCATCATCATGGCAGGTTTGTTTACTTTTTGTCAGTATTGTTAACATGAACTTGTTTATCTATAAAAGGGTCCAGGGCATCTATTTTATTTCAATCACTTCTTCTTGTTAATCAGTTAGCTAAGGAATGAGTATATGTTAACAGGTGATATTTAAAACGTCTTGCATTTATATTTAATAAAAAATGTACGTAATATATTTGTTATATTTCAGGTATGTTATATGTGGCGGAACATCGTTTGGATTTTACAATGGTGATTATCAATACTGGTTCAGGATTTGAAATGCTTATCACCTAATAATTAGCACTGAGTTTACAATGCACAAAATATTTATTATTGGCAGTTTAAGAATGTGTGCATACATTTATGTGATAATGTGAAATTCCACTTTCCTTTTCCTAAAATATATTTGTGATGTATTATAGATCAGAATTAGTGAACGTGTGATGATTGATGAAGCCTCCTTTTTTAATAGCTGAGAGGTTTATACATACAGGTGCTAACTATGATGAAGAAAAGAAAGCATTTGAACCAAGTCCCACTAGCTACGACTTTGATGCACCAATCACTGAAGGTGGTGACTTCACAATGAAATACTTTCTTCTCAGATCCGTGATACAACAGGTACCAAGTTTTGTCTGAGTATTATATGTGGATGTAAAAATTAATGCATTCCTAATAATTATATGATTTATTAATGAAGGGTTTATACACTGAGATTACGAATGTATCTTTGTGTACGTCTTGGAATCGTTACACTTGCTTCACATGTTCGATGTTTATGCAGTAATTGTGAGCACAATATTCCTTAATTTATGGTGAAACAATGAGATGGAATATACACTGTCTATTGCTTGAGTTATTTTTATTTCCAGTACATAGACTTCAATTTACCAGCAGTGCCACCACCTATGCCTAAGTTTCCCTACGGTGCAGTCAGCATGAAACTGGTTGGTGAATCTTACTTCACTAAACTGTTCTAACCCACGTTGTTAATTCCTATGCTCGTTTCAAAGAAATTAATAAAAAAAATTACTAAGAAATTTTACACAGAATGAATGTAACCATAAGCTCAGTAGCTCCTTTTGAGTGTGATGGTGATTTAAAAATGCAATAAAACGGGTTCTATTGTAATGCTAGTGTCACGAGTTGAAGCTAGTTAGTGCACGCTAACTAGTAGTAAGTGTAGTAAGTGCACGCATGCATACACTGTAGACAGAAAAGTTTAGTAATGTCAAATAATGAAAAGTTTAATAAACCATGTAACAGTTCAACGTTGGCACCCGCACAACCCTCAATTGCAATATTACAAAAAACTACATATACATTGACTAATAAATGATTAAGAACTGTTACAGCAAAACCGCAGATGGGGTTCTCCTTGTTTCCTCGGCTTCTTCTTCTTCCTTCTTCTTCTGCTGCTTCTCCTCTTCATTAGCTTCTTCTTCTTCCTCCTATTCTCCAGAGTCCAGCCACACGTGTCTCTCAAACACAAACTTCGGCCCCTTCTCCTCTTCTTCAGCTTCTTCTTCTTCCTCCTATTCTCCAGCCACACGTGTCTCTCAAACACAAACTTCGGCCCCTTCTCCTCTTCTTCAGCTTCTTCTTCTTCCTCCTATTCTCCAGCCACACGTGTCTCTCAAACACAAACTTCGGCCCCTTCTCCTCTTCTTCAGCTTCTTCTTCTTCCTCCTATTCTCCAGCCACACGTGTCTCTCAAACACAAACTTCGGCCCCTTCTCTTCTTCTTCGGCTTCCTCTTCTTCCTCCAATTCTCCAGCCACACGTGTCTCTCAAACACAAACTTTGGCCCCTTCTCCGGCCGCACGTGTCTCTCTCAGACT